GACTAGGATCTCTAGACTTAGGTGGTAATAAATTTAAGAGAATAATATCTCTCAATTCCAAACCGTGGAAAAGGTAATGAGAACCAAAAGATTATCTTTCCCAAGAATCTAGGCCCTGAAGTGAAATACCTTTAAGAAAAAAAAAAGTGATGCTGAAAAGTTTTAGGCTGATCCTAATTGCCAAAATTTGAGTAAATGGCCAACCATCAGAATGATAATGTCAGAGTTAAAAAATGACGTAATATGGACTGAAGCCAGCTGTGAATGCAAAAAAAAAAATTGTGGGAGGGTGATTTTCTAAGCGTTACATAGATGTGGCACAAGACCGAAACTATGGGGCATCCAATGAAGATCGAACTCACTACTCAGGCGTAATTCATCTAGCGAGACAAGCTTGCCACGTCGATGTGCCCTAGTGGATTTCTAAGTGTATCTTAGATGCCACATAAGGACAAAAGTGTGGGGCACCCAGTGAGGATCGAACTCAGTATTCAGTCGTAATTGATCCAACCATTACAGCACGTCGATGTGCCCTAGTAGATTTCTTTGCGTAGCTTAGATGTGGAGCAAGGACGAAAGTATGGAACACCTAATAAGTATCGAATACACTATTCAGTCGTAATTGATTTAGATGTGGTACAGGCCAAATGTGTGAAGGACCTAGTGAGGATCGAACTCACTATTCAGTCGTAACTGACCTAGCGAGACAAGTTTGTTAAATATTACGCTACGTCGAAGTGCCCAAATCATTTTCTAAGTGTAGCTTAGATGTGGCACAAGGCCGAAAGTATGGAGCACTCATTGATGATCGAACTCACTATTCAGTCGTAACTGACCTACCAAGACAAGTTTGTTAACATTACGCTACGTCGAAGTGCCCAAATCATTTTCTAAGTGTAGCTTAGATGTGGCACAAGGCCGAAAGTATGGAGCACTCATTGATGATCGAACTCACTATTCAGTCGTAACTGACCTACCAAGACAAGTTTGTTAACATTACGCTACGTCGAAGTGCCCAAATCATTTTCTAAGTGTAGCTTAGATGTGGCACACAGCCGAAAGTGTGGAGCACACAGTAAGGATCGAACTCACTATTCAGTCATAATTGATCTACAAGCTTGTTAACCATTACGCAATGTCGAAGTGCCGAAAAGTATGTTGATGATTGAAAAAGTTTTTTCTTGTGTGGAATGAAACACAGATCAAAGAACAAAGCATAGATCAGAGAGTGATTGATTTTTTAGTTTATCAAACATTTGCATGTTATTTAAAGCGGAAAAATATTTAAGATTTTTATTCATTCATTTATTTATTTATTTGAGATAATAAAGATTAACTGATACAACTCCTACTAATTAATCCATAGCCGGGGAGAAGAAGTGGCGAATTCATACCTTTCTCAAGGGGATTTGTGCGAAATAGAATATAACTAACCTGACTGAAATTAGAACCCGACTTCCCAATTTCGAACTACGCCGTTATACATTACACTACATGCGTATCCAAGTGATCATCAATCCATTTATTGAGGAGCATTGACGTAACTTAAGTGATCACACAAGAACAGGTGTTTCAACGTGATAGGGTTGTAAGCCCCGGGGATCAGTGAATATGATAGTGGCTTTATATCTCTATCGAAAGAAAGAGTATAAAATACGACAGTAAACATTCTGGGGTCTGGTTAAAAACGGACCTTATGTCACAACTCGTCTCAGCGTGGAGACAGAGTAAATACCTAGTTTGTAAATTGCTCTCTCGAGTAGTTTGTTACACATTATCATCTCTCAGTTGCGTCTCTGTGTTTGGGCAGGGTGCACTCAAGGGCGGCGTCAAAGGACAGAGTCGCGACTAAGGGAGGTTATACTGAGAGAGGCCCAGCCCTCGGCAAAAGAGTCCGTGCCCTCTCATTGCACCAGAGAGAGTGATTGGTGCTCGCACCGAGGCCAGCGCAACCGACGGTTGCGAGGACTGCAGGTAATTTTTGTTCCTAGCCCGGGTGTACGCGCTCGGGTTCCTACCTTAAAAATTGACCTTGTATCACAACTTGTCTTAGTGGGGAGACAGATGCCTAGTGTGTAAATTGCTCCCTCGAGTGGTTTGTAACACATTATTTATCGTCTCTGTCTTTGGGCAGTGTGCGCTCAGGGGCAGCTCCGTCAAAGGACAGAGTCGCAACTGAGGAAAATTATACTGGGAGGTGCCCAGCCCCGGGGAACAGCTGCCTAAGGCCGCGCCCTCTCACTACACCAGATAGAGGGATCGGTTGCAGGGGCTGCGGGCAATTTTTGTTCCTATCCCGGATGTTCGCGCTCGGGTCCCCACTACTTCAAGAAAAAAGTTTACTCTTTTATGGTATTAAAGAATATAAACGAATTACGTGTTTCTTCTCCGAATTTCCGTTTCAAGGTTGCCATTTCTTTCTGTGGTAGACTGGTCGCCAACCCTGTCTGTCCTGCTATTCAGCCCATAGGTAGGAGAATAAAAGATGTGTTCATACCTTTCCCAAGAGTATTTGTGCGAAGATGAATGCAACGAACTCGAGTAGAATTCGAACTTGGCTCTCCGACTTTTCATTTCGTGCCGACATTCATTACAGCACACCACCACATATCAAATACCTTGTAGAGATACAACAGGCGATTACCTCCCTTTGGTCAAGTCACGTCATTGCCGCTTATATCCATTTCATACTGCGGTAGATTATTTTGATTGATCTTGAACGGTAATGTCTCAGAATTAAAGTTTAGAAATTCAAGATTTAAATGAATACACCGTCTGTTTAAATTCATTGTCAAACGTCAACAACAAAGCGAAAATTATTTACTAGATGGAAATTAGTTTTTTGTAGATTCAACAGCTTTTTGATTTTCATTTGACTCCATTACAAACTAGATATGTTAGGTATACATAAAAAAAAACTATTAAGTTTACTTTGAAACAATAAAACATTTTATTTTTATTTCTTCGTATTACTGAAATTTCGTAAAACAGAAAAAAATATACATGTTAAATTAGTAATCATTAGCATAAAACGGGTTTTTGAACGGAATATAATGACGAAGTTTTTTTATTGAAAGAATTAATTGATGAAGGCGCGTTTTTATTTAAAGAAAAATGTTGGAAAAAAAAAACGAAGAAGAGAAATAAAATATCCGGCATAAACTTATTATCAGCTGCTTTTTATAAAACAGCTTTTATGTTTGGAAAGAATCTGTTTTGTAATTAGTTTCATGTAATTATAGAGTTATTCCCCTTAGTTTTCTAAATAGGAACATTAGAATAAACAGAAGGCATTCGTTGACCTGTGTGAACTTTCTTCCGTCGGCCAGAATGATATAACAGTGTCAATACTTTAATGATAATTAATAATAGTAGTTAAACTTAGTGACTTCTGATACTAATTAACCTCTGAATAGATAACGATTTGACAACTAGCGGAGGCTACTGAAGATGGCATTTAAGCGAGTTTTCTTAAATAAAAACACGAAATTTTAATTATATTTTTATATGAATACAGGTATAACAATTGCTAATGTAATATGCGCTATTTTTGTTTAAATTATTTTGTAATCGCGTGTGGGTATGTTCGCCAGAGATGATTTCGATATAAACAGTATCGAGTCGAATCATTATCTCCCTTGAGGCACAGCATCGTATTAACCTTCTGTCTGTTCCTTAGCTAGCTAGCGAGTACGTTACGCCTTGCCAATACTTTTTGATGGCGATGAAACGCGGAAAGGCGTATCAGAGATGCTGTTTGGTTGCAGCCTAAGAAAGAAAGAAATAGGAGGCGATAAAGATTTAATAAGTTTAACGTCTATTTCAGTGAAATGGTAAAATTGTCAATTTTGAATCATTTAATTTGTACCCTTTTATTTCTTTAAATAATGACCTGCATTCGTATTTATGATTGTTATTGTAATATTTGGTTAAATTTAATAAACTTAAATACTTATTGATGCAACAGGAGAATTTCCATTGGTATTTTGTAGTCGTAGAACTTACAAGGAGCTTGTTCAATCATTAACTTAATAATTATGATTAATCAAAAAATGAAAATAGTAAAACAGTGAAATTGTCATGGGTACTATTAGTTTATACTATTATTTTGTATTATATCAGAATTTTTACATTTGGAATTATGACTATTATTTGTCTATACTAATCTATACGTGAAAGAATATAACAATCTTTATATATACGACCATCACGTTTAACAAACCTATTTTCTTCTTGCTGAAATTATTTTTATTTATTTTGCTTATTTGTGTAAATTTTTACTTAATATCCGTGCAATAATTCTATTCCATCAGTAATTGCAGAAATATATTTGGTATATATAAAGATGATATCTTAAATGTCGACACCCGTTAAATTTACATGGATACGGCTAATTTTTATACTGCAAAAAAGTAAAGTCTTTGACAGAATCAATGTTACGTTTGTGGTATGCGCTTTAAGCAGGCATAAGTCTATGAACGGTGAGGAGTCTGAATTTTAAACACTTCGCAAAGAAGTCGATTTCACTAGAAAAGTCAAAAGCCTTTACTAGCTGAAAGTTGAACCAATCGATTAAAAAAGGATTTACTTTTTAAATTTACTGCAGTCTTTTTGATTGGTTATTTTTCGCATTATCATGGGCGGGGTTAGTAGATTATATTCTGTTTTTGTTGTTTTCGTTAGTTTTTTTTTTTTTTTTGTTGTTGTTTCTTTTTTGTTTTGTTTTGTTTTTTTTCATTTTATTTTATTTCATTTTAAACATTTGGTTATATTCTTCGTTATAATCAAGTCTAAACAAAAATCACTACGCTAAATCGTGAAATGATGCTAACGATGTTGCATTTTCACTTGATGTTGGCAAAGACGTCGTCGTCGTGGTCGTCGTGGCCGTCGTGGCCGTCGTCGTCGTCGCCGTCGTTGTGACTTGTCCGATTTTCGATAATGGCGTATAATTCTTCAGCTTTTGTGACTGGTATGTCCACTGTTTATGACTCGATAACGAGGAATGCTCTGACCTGAAATCAGCAGAAGACTCTGTCAGAAACAATGAACTTTCATGGAAAATAATCAAGAAAAACTTGGTTTTGTTTTTGTTATTGGTAATTCGCTGATATTTAAAAATAAGGAATTTTATCGAAATTCTCCACAAGCAAGACAGTAAAGCCACTAAGACACAAGGGGTTATTGAATGTTTAAAAAATAGAAAACAGAAACATCATTAAGGAGAGAGAAAAATAGAAGAGTAATCAGGAAGACAGTAGATAATGATTGACATTGCATTTAAATTTTTGAAGATAAAAATTTGACTGGAAAGCAAGAAGACGGAAAAGTGTTCCACAAGCGAGAAGTGAGAAAAAAGAAACTGTTAGCATAGAACTTACGGTTACATCTCGCTAATTCATCTGAAAATTTATGAAACCTTGTTGCCAGTCTAGTACTTAAATTCAGGTACCATATCCGAACAATTACCATGAAAGTATTATAGAAAAGGTAAAGGGAAACAACTTAACGGCGGTGGGAAAGTGACGGGAGTCGAGATGCCAGGTCAAGACCGATAATATTGCTAATTCTTCCTTGGATTTTATCAAGACTCTCTAAATATATATAGCAGGAGCACAGGTCATTATATGGCAGCAATATTCGAAGTATGGACGAATGGTAGACTTATAGGTATGTAAGACAGATTCTGGAGAGAAAAATTATCTAGCACGATACAGTGACGCAAATTTCTAGGCAGCAGACCTAGCAATGGATTCAGTATAGTCTTTCCACTTCATGTCAAACAAGAAAGTTAGCCCTAGAAGGCGCAACAACTTAGCATCAGCCATGCTAATGGAAGGCAGAAAATGGTCTTTTTGATGTTTAATAGAGAGCATTTAATAAAGTGTTGGAACTGCTAGGTAAACTTGACATATTTGGGAAGGATATAAGAATAATCCAGGACATATACTGGGAGCAAACCAGTAAATATACAAAAAATAGTGTTGTATAAGAGTAAGTGTCGTTGCCGACACTGGTTTGAAACTAGATCGCCAGTGAGCAACACAGGCGATTCCATTATGAAGTAGATCACGTGATCATAAACGAAATGAATGCCTAAGTATATATTATACAGGAAAAGGTTCAATTTTTTTTTTCTTCACTAAAGTGGACCCCATTTTGTGAGAATGTATGTAGATCCAACAAATGCCTCAAAGCCCAATGTCGCAAAAGTCGTCGTTGTCGCAAAAATCAACGACGATTTTAACGACACTTGGCGTTAAGACATTTGTTGGTCCTACAACGTCCCTTCATGTTTTTCTTTCTAATAACTGTTGAAGAATAATTTTACTCTTTACTTGCGGATTCTAATCTGAGCACGAGTAAAAGATTTGAAAGTGGCGCTAGCTGGTTGTTGTATAGGAGTAAGTGTCGCTGCCGACACTGTGGTTTGAAAATAGATCGCCAGTGAGCAACACAGGCAATTCCATTATTAAGTAGATCACATGATCATAAAGGAAGTGAATAAATAGGAAGTAGAGTGATGACTATACGGTCACTGGTCCTTCTTCTTTCTCATCCACTATTGCTATACGTTCACTTTCTCTACTACTATATGGATTACAATCTTTATACTATTTGGCGATTACTACTTGAACAAGTATTACTAGTGTGGATATTATTGGAAGACGTTACTACCAGTACCGGCGTCTACGAAGTCTCAAATATAAGTATTTTTGGGAAGTGATAACGAACTTTCGCTTGACATAGCAAAAGTGACAAACGAAACCGTCCAACATCACAAAAAATAGAAAGGGGGTGTAAATCAAGGATGTGTCTTTTCACCGGCCATATTTTGAGAGAATTAGAAGTCCTATCAGAGTTCATTATTGGAGGGCACAATCTTAACAACATTAGATATGAATGTGACACAGTGATGATGGCAGTCACAGAAGGAAACTACAAGAACTCCGACAGAAGACAATAAAAGAAAAGCGCAAAGAAAAAACTAAACATGAATCGCAAAAAGACGGAATGAATGGTTGTCAGCAAAAAGAACCCAGCATAGAAATTACAAATTGAAGATACAAAAAAACAAGCTAGGAAGTGTTTTAACAGGGGAGGGAAAGTGTGACACTGAAATCCGAAGGCGAATTTAGATAGCAAACGTTGCTTTCCAAAAGCTAAGCAAAGTATTAATAAAAAAAAAAGAAAATTTTGTTACAAAGAAAAGAGAAGAGTATATATATATATATATATATATATATATATATATATATAAGGTAATGAAGGGGTTGTTAATCCGTGTGGATAATTCCAAATAGAATGTAATCCAGAAAGCTCAATGTAACAACAGAGCAAATATCAATTTAAAGGATTAATATATATATATATATACATTAATCTTTTAAATTAATATGTATATATATATATAAATATAAATTAATATGTATATATATATATAAATTAATATGTATATATATATATATATCTTTTAATTAATATGTATGTATATATATCTATCTTTTAAATTGATATATTTTATATATATATATATATATATATATATATATATATCTTTTAATTAATATGTATGTATATATATATATCTTTTAAATTGATATATATATATATATATATATATATATATATATCTTTTAATTAATATGTATGTATACTTAGTTAGTACACAATAAAATCCCAAATTACCTATGGGGAATAGGCTTATTTCAACCGACGAAAAATTCGTCAGTCTTATTCAACTCCAGCGTAGGCTGAGTTCGTGTTGGAATTAGAAATTTAAGTGAGACAGCTACAAAAAAAAACCGTCGTAAAACTAGAGAAAATACAGAGCTAATATTCTCTATTAGTTTTTCGGAAAAAAAAAGCATAAACTGGAGAAATATACCAGAAAACATATTCAAAAGATTAATATCTTTAGAAAAAAATGATAGCCATTATATTCTGAATATGGCTCTGAAAATCTTGTTCAAATAACAACCTCTAGTTTTAGATTCGTGAATGAAAAACTCGACAAACTTTGGATAACCTTTGGAGATAAAAGACTGATAAATTTTTCACCAAATCTTTTTTTATCGGACTTTCTTTGAAAGAGACTGAGACAGACATTTAAGATGATGAATTGTTGTTAGGTTCGCTGTATTTTTTTTATTTTTAATAATACCAAAAGCAAAATTGAACTTATTCCATATAAATATTTATGCTCTTTTTTTATATATAAAGATGGCTTTTTTTTTAAAGTAAGTTAATATAAAGCAACTAACTTAAACTTTTATTTTCTAAGCTCAGTTTAAATTACTTACTTTCTCTTAGAACAATATGGCGGCAGGAAGCCGACAGGACAATGACATTTCCCGCCATGGACGCATCTGCCGCCGTTTTCGCATTTTCTTCGACAATGAACTGCAAATACAAATTTTAAAAATAGAAAAAGCAAACAAATGAGCAAGTCAAACATTGTTTAAATAACAAAAGTCTTATTTGTGATCTTTAATCGAAAGAATTTATGAATTAATCTAATTCCGTTCACTTAAGACAGCAATAAAAGGATACAAAATGAAGTCTTTACTGGCTTTAGGATGTCATTAACCGAACTCAGGGCAGGTTGGCCATCGCTTTACAGAAGACTCTCTAGTCGACGCTAATGGCTGGAAATTTACTGGCATTTGTAGAATCGGTTACATATTCGAATCAAATAAGAAAATAGCGGGTAGGAAATTTGAGTTATGATTATTTTTCAAGTACAAAAGACCTAATATCCTTGAAAATCAGCATTTAAAATCTTCTCTTTTTCTTCTACTCGATACACAGACCATCGGAGTTAAAATACGTAGCTATCTCAGCTATCTGGCGGACAACAAAATATTACTTTGTGATTTACTAACATTAGCTTAGCTTAGTATGACACAAGGCTATTGATTTCTTCGTTTTTTACGGCTTATCAAACCTTTACGGGTAATTTAAAGCCAGAAAATATTTTTTAAGATTATTTACATTATTCGGACTATTGTCCTCATCTTTGTCATCTTTGTTTATTGTTCCTCATTTTTATCATCTTTGTTTATTACAACGTTTCGGCCGTTATACGCTCCGGACTTCTTCAGGTGGTTGGAATGTCGAACTGAACCCTTTATTTCGCTCACTGGGGTAGACTGTTCTAGTTCCACGTGCCATGTTTAATGAATGTCAGTTATCAGTCATCTCCTGTTAATTCCCCTCTCCAAGTTCTCCACTGCCTTAACCGAGTATTGAACTCACTCTTTGGGTCTTGTCACTAGATCTAACCAACGCTTTTATCCACTGTGTCATGTCTCCTTGAAAGAGTGTGAGTTCAATTCCTGGTTAAGGCAGTGGAGAACTTGGAGAGGGGAATTAACAGGGGATAACTGATAATTGACATCCATTAGACATGGCACGTGGAACTAGAACAGTCTATCCCAGTGAGCGTAATAAAGAGTTCAGTTCGACATTCCAACTACCTGAAGTCCGGAGCGTACAACAGCCGAAACGTTGTAATGAATATGGCGACAAAGATGAGGACAATAGTCCGAATAATGTAAATAGTGTATATAATACCTCATCTCAGAAATACAGACAGATACTGAAATATTTTTAAATTTAAGAATTTTTTAGACATAATAATGCTTTAGTGATACAAACCTTACTAATTAACCCATAGCTGGGGGAGAAGAGATGGATTCATATATTTCCGAGGAGTATTTGCGTGTAAGGGAATATAACGATATCACAAGTGGAATTGAAATTCGACACTCCGATTAATAATTCCGAGCCATCATCCATTACACTTATCGCACATCCGAACTTACCGTACTGGATATTCCCAAGCGGTTACCCATTGAGGTACTGACTAGGCTCGATGTTGCTTAACTTCGGTGACCTTACGGGAACGTGATGTAACCTTAAGTTCGAATCAAATAAGAAAATAGCGGGTAGCAGGATTAGGTTATGGGGATTTTTCAAGTACAAAGGACCTAGCATA